CCTTAAGAGATTGGATAGCATCAGTCTTACTGGCTAAGCTTGATTAGATGTTCATTTTGGTCCAATCAGTGATGGCCAGAGGGGAGAGAACGTATTGCAAATACAACCACCATGCCCAGCATCCAGAGAGGCCAGGGGCATAGTAAGCAAGGAAGAGGTGCCGGAAGTTCTCCTCTCCCCATCTTGGGCAGTGTCCCTCTGCATGCGTCTGCCCACCATGCCGGTATTCTCTGTAATTTGCCCACTATGAATTGAGTACCTGTGATGAGCGTGGCTTTGAGTTAGATCACATGAAGACATAAAGAAGAATCAGACATGTTCCAACGGTTTGGGGAAGGACCACAGTAAAAACAAGCACAGTTGATTTGCAGAGGGTGTGACTGGGAGGATAAATTCTCAAAGGATTATTTGTGAGCATGAGAAATGATGATCTATACATGGCATAAGTTCTTGCCAATCGCCTTTTCCAGCACACCCTCCTCCTCAGTGCCACTGGAACATCCAAGTTTTGTTTGGGTGGGATGATCACTATTCCATATGTTCAAGAAAAGTAAGCCAGGGTCATTCATGGTTTAAGATGATTTCTTCTCGTCATTCACTAGTTACCTATGGGTTTGGAATTTGGCCCTGGACAATGAGATCAGAGGGGAGATCTGTAGGTACCTATTGGCTAAAGGTGTTCTAATATACAGAAAGAGATATGGGCAAAATCAACTTTGTGATATGTTGAAATACCCGTGTGACACCTGGAGCAACTGCAGCCATTGTGAGACCACAAATGGAGATGCTGCTCACACACTAAAAATGGCAGAAGTGGAAGATGCATCTTGCATTTTGCAGTTATGCTGCAGAAACAACCAAGCCTGGAAGAAGTCTTCTTCAGCTAGCTGTTGCACAAGACAAGAAACCTCTACTGTGTAAGAGTGAGGTACGTCAGGAAGGGTCCAGTGGCAATCAAAGATGTCTGCGGCTGGTAGTACTGGTGGCCACCATTGACCTCCCTTCCTCCTTGCCTCTTGGTGCCTGGGTAGCTGTCTGAACCTAGGAACCACTTTGGGCTGGACCCTCTGAGAAGTTTCTGAAGCACTGAAACAAGGCCAAGTTACTCCATCAGAGCTCTGTCGGAAACATCTCTCCCTTATCCAGAAGACCCAGTTTCTAAAGGCTTACATCACTGTGTCTGCAGAGGTGGCCCTAAAGCAAGCGGAAGAATCGTGAAAAAAGCTATAAGAAAAGTCAGTCACCTGGGGACTTAGATGCAATTCCTATTGCAATAAAAGACAACTTTAGCACATCTGGCATCAACACAACATGTGCACCAAATATCTAAAAAAAGTTATTCTCCACCTTTTAATGCTACACCACGTCAGAAGTTGTTGAATCAGAGAGCTCCACTAATGTGAAATACAAATGTGGTGTATCAGTGTTCGTGTGCTTTGTAGAGTTAGGGTGAGACACCAAAGGATCAATCCTAAATCCTGCCACCCACTGTGGGCTTGGTGGCTTTAAACCTAGCTGTGGCTTCTTTTCTCATCATGGTCTCATTCCCCTGGTGAATTCAATGGATGTACCAGGAATCGTAACCAGATGTGTGGATGGCACAGCAATAGTATTTGGTGTAGTGGCTGGACACAACCCCAAAGACTCTACCACACTGCAAGATCCCGTTAAACCGTTTATGCCTCCTCGTTTGACAGGTGTGAGCCAACTGTGTATAGGAATTCTGAAGGAATATCTTCTACCTGAATTATCCAGCGATCTCGCTGGTCTGAAGCTGCTGGCCTCTCTGAGCCTGCAGGAGCCAAAGTGACTGAAGTATCCCTGCCTCACACCGTTTACTCAGTTGTCTGCTAGCATGCACTGTGCACATCAGAAGTGACATCAAATAGGACAAGATTTGATGGGCTAGAATATGGCGTGGATGTGACATTAACGTGTGTACTGAAGTCACGTATGCTGCCACCAGGAGGGAAGGGTTCCCTGATGTGGCGAGAGGAAGAATTCTTCCAGGAAACTTTTTCTCGCTAAAAGAAAACTATGCAAACTATTTCATTAAAGCTTGGAAAGGGAGGTACCTCAGTGTAGGTGATGTTGTGAATGCTTTTCATACTCTCTGAGAGGAGTATCTTGCTAATCCTCACCGTCTTGAGTAAGGCAGTACCATACTTGGAGTTTATCAAAGAAGACAACAGAACACAAAGTGCCCAAGATGATCGTTTTACACGGGCAGTAAGTGTGACAAGATTGCCAGCTATGAGCGTGCCGGCAGCCCTCACACCCAGGGGCTGCCAACACGAGAGCAGTTCATCGGGTGCATATTTTGTAACGAAAAGCTTCTCACAGTTGGTGAATGGTTTGAAAAACAAGTACAGTTTCCTGTTATCCAACTTCAAGAGCTCATGGGTAATTGTTCATCCATCTTTGACAATGAAAAGTTGCTTCCATTTCTCTAAAACAGTAGTGATAAATGTATCTTGCAAATTAAAATGGTTTTTAAAGATTCAAAAGAAGTTAGATACATTTACACGGAACTGAAAGCATTCTCTTGGATACAGAACGCAAAGTCCTTAGCATGGTACCTAACACACAAGACACGCACCGTCATTACTACACAGACTTCTTTTCTATTAAATTTAGGGCAGGGATTATAGTGATGCTCTTATTGCAAAATATATCCACTCAAAACCACTCGGTGAGATATTTGGTGTCAACTTTTGTTTATGCCTAAAGAAATTCTGGCGGTGCTATTACGCAATGCATATCATCTGCCCTTCCAGGCCTTGAGTTTGCCCCAGATTAGACAAATTCTTCAACTTTTTAAATCTTTGCTTAAATTTGGTCTTCTTTGAAAGACAGTTTTGATTTGAATGAGGAGAGAAAGGGCTCCTATGTTTGGGGGAGAAACACATTACAGCTGAGAGTTATTGAAAGAAAAAGCCTGTTTCTATGATTTTCCATGAATGGCCCCAAAGAGGGCCTTCCGGGGACATCTGGAGGGCAGTTTGTGGCATGTAAGGAGTTGAATATGACCTGGTAAATCCCCGGAGATTTTTTGTCTGGTGAGGCATCTGAGGCAGTTAGCTGAAATTAGGTTCCCTGCTCAAGGTTAGTCAAGGATGGCACAACCAAAGAAGGATTAGAATTCACGGTCACAGTGCCCAGAACTCCTGTGCATGACTGGACTTTGCTATGTGATGTTACTTGGGGGCAACGCTAGTTATTGTGGCAACGATATCTTCAAAGAGCAGGATGGGGACAATGGCCGAGCCATGAAGTCAGAATGGCACAACTGGAAGAGATCTGGTCCAGCTCTGTCTTTACACAGAGGCATAATTCACGTCCACGGTGGCTGAAAGACATATCCAAGGTCATAGGACCCATAAATAGCTGAGCAGAGATGAAGATTTTTGTTTTATGATGCTGGACTTAGTGGGTTTTTTTTTTTTTGTTTTGTTTCTCTTTCCTGTTCTCCTTACATTCTTCCTTCCTTCTTTCCTTTTCTCCTTCCTCCCTTCCTTCTTTACTTCCTTCCTTCCTTCCATACTTCTCTCTTTCTCTCTCCTTTTCTTTCTTTCTTTCTTTCTTTCTTTCTTTCTTTCTTTCTTTCTCCTTTCTTTCTTTTCTATCTCTTTTTTCTCTCTTTTTTCTTCTTTCTTTTCTCTCTCTCTCTCTCTCTCTCTCTCTCTCTCTCTCTCTCTCTCTCCTCTTTCTTTCTTTCTCTTTCTCTTTTTCTCCTGTTTTTGTATATTGGAGATAGGGTCTATGTAGTTTGGCTGGACCCAAACTTGCAATCCTCTTTCCCAAGCTCTTGGGTACTGAGATTACAGCATGCACAGGCCTTGCTGCTTTTTTTCCTGTTTCATTTCTGCTGAATTTATTAAACAATAATCTTTCTATAATTGTATGGCATGAGTGCCTCCAAGCCTTTGGCAAAATTGCAAACTACATTCTGGCACTAAACTATTGCTTAATTTTCCTTTATTCTGCTGTCTAGTTTTAACAGAACTTGCTGTATATTGTTTGAATTCCCAGCAGATATGGCAAGCCATATTTGTAAAATATGTCTATAATATGTTTCTTTTCTTTAGCTCCAGAAGCTAGTCTTATTATTTTACATCTAAACTACATATATGAAGAGTGTGGCTATACTCCTCATGGCTGAGCTATCATGATAGAGCCCCAACCATGTGTTAAAAATAAATCTCAACACAGCACACTTTATCATTTTTATCTTTACAAAAGAAAGCTGAGGAAGTCAGTGTTACTATGGCGACCTTACAGATCAGTAAAGTGGGGGTCAAGTTCACACAGCTAAAAGCTGTACAGTTGGAGCTAGAATCCAGGCCCGTTTGAATTGAGATTTCGATGGATTTCAAAAGGAGAGAATGAGAATTCTGATGGGATCAGAGATACGAAGAAATAATTTGGAACCAGAGACACCGAGCACAGAGGCTAGTGTTAATGACCTGGGTACGTAGAAGAGCTGGTGAGGGCACTGGCAGGCAGAAGAAGGAGTCACCAGAAACCAGGAGTGTTGGGAAGTTCACAACGTTGCCTGGAGCTGGCCTTGCTTCTGAGAACTGACCAAAAATATGTCTGGCTTAGAAGAAACATTGTCTTCTCTAAAATGGGACAATAATGGCACTTACCCATAGTACTTACTGCTCGCTCAGTAAGAGGTGTTGGAAGAGCAAGATTCCACTTGCTCATTTCCACTACAGATTTGCATTTGCACTTTCTTCAGTAGGTCACACAAATTTTCTAGACTGTGATGTCACTCTACAAAGTCAACACAAGACTACGCTTCCCTGGGCCTCACTGTGTCCCATGGAAGGAGGAAGACATGAAAGGAGAAAACCTGGCTCCCTTCTTGGGCTATGTGTGACAGTCATTTGTGATGCTTTGATGAAAGCGGGTTGGCTCTGCCCCAGATTTGAAGTCCAACTTCCATGTTCCTAAGGATGGCTGCAAAAGCTCACTGTCTCCCTTGTACCTGCAGGACTTTAATTTGTGGAGGTGACGGAGTGATGACCCAGAGCAACGCTATTGAAAGAACTCATTGCTCACATCTGAGAGGAGAAGGAATGTCATGTCACGCTGAGCCACATCAGGAACCCCAGGTTTGCTCAGGAGGTAGCAAAGAGAGAGAATTTTAGGCTCAAGCCTTGGGTCTGTACAAAATGTAGCAGGGCAGAGTAGAGTTTAGGGGTGCTGGCTTGAGTAATTCCAGGACCAAGTTTCAAGCAGCCAGGGACCACCCTTCAAGCCCATAGCCCTCTAGAATGTCCCAGTTTTAGAAACATCCCAACACCTGGGATGATCCAGAGTAGAAGCAATACTGGCTTGTTGTGTGAGAGCTAGGTAGAGAAGATAGTTGTGGGCTGTCAGCTGGAGGCATTTGGTTGGTTTTGCAAAGGCGCTCACACAGGCAACTTGCTATTTTCAGGAACTGTCTGGCTCTGAGTCCTTAAGGCTCCCAACATGTTGAAACAACATTAGAAAATTTTACAATATGATGAATACACCCATCCATCCATTTCCACATGCTTTTCCTTGTCCCTCCAACCCTCCAGGCTCTCTGAAAATAGGTGAAGACAGAAACATCAAGGTTAAGTGCACAGGTTGGCCAGTTTTGGGTAGAAAAGCAAGAGAGCTTTATGTTATTGCAAAAACTGTTTTGCATTATTCCTCAGTTTCTGTGGTGCCACACATTTTACAAACTGTTTAGAGGCTAAAGAAGAATAATGACACAGGAAAAAATAGAGAAAACCCACTGCAACTATATGTACCCACCGGTAGCACTACTGCATGACCAACAGATTGATATAAACCCTGCAGCTGTCACTGGCTTACAGTCCTCCGTTTGCCATTCTGGAAAGAGGCTGGTATTATAATCTAAGATTTCACTCCATAAAAGCAAATATTCCCCAACTCCCGCCCACCCAAGAGCATCTGTATTGGGAATTATTCGCCACATCTGATTTTCTTTTGAGGCAGCAATTTTTGTAGCAGGTGTAAAATATTTAAAGTCTGAATTAACACTCATGATGCAGAATTTTACAGGTGCTTTGACTTGTAACCTGTGCACAAATTCCCAGGGCTTGTGCACAAGTTTGTGCTTATCCATGCTTAGAGCCAAGTAAACTGGAAACTCTGGTTTTATTATCACAGACTCATGGCACTATTCCCACTATAACTTATCTTGTATGTGTTAATGGACACCTCCCTGATAAAGGCCATTGGGCTTTAGATAAAGCAAAATAAATCTTGAGACCACAGCATTGGAAGGATTGCACTTATTATCAACAATACACAAAGGCATTTTCAATCTTTGTAATGATTATAGTCATATACATTGCTTTGATCTCTAATATTTGGTTAGCAATATTTATTTATTGAGCACCGAGTAGACTGTAAGCTCCTTAGGGGCCTGTTCAACTTTTTATGTCCTTCTCATAAGGAGTGAGCTGTATCAGGCACATTGAGAGCTAAAATGAATATCTGATTAGGTCATTGCTTTACTGCAGTTGCTATGGGCAGCTTTCCATGACTGTAACAAAACACCTGGGATAATTGTCTTAAAAGAGGAAAGGTTTGTTTGGCTCAGTTCTGGAAATTTCAGTCCATAGTTGCTAGTCTCCACTGCTTTTGATTCTGTGGTGAGGCAGTGGATCAAGATGAGAGTGCTTGGTAGAGGAAGCCTTTACCTCATGGCTGGAAGGAACTGAGGGAGAGGAGAGAGAGAGAGAGAGAGAGAGAAAGAAGCTAGTACTTCATAAGCTTCTTTGAGGACACAACTGTAATGACAACCTCATTCCTTACTAGGCCTCACCTCTTAAATGTTTCCACCACCTTCCATTAGCACCAAACTAAGGACCAAGCCTTTAGCATATGGGCGTGTAGCAGACATTACATATCTGAGCTACTGCAGTGGTGTTTCTCATGATCTGCTCCATGTTTCCCTCAAGGTCCAAAAGATCCATCAGATGAGGATTGAATGAGTGAAGAAAAAGATGCAGTTCCTTTTATTCAAGATTTCCTTGATTTCCACTATTTTTTACTTTGGCCCACTTACTGGTAAATAAGTGAGTTTAGTAAAGATTCTAAAATTACATACATATTTTGGTTGGATGTGTGGAGTGTCTCCACTCAGCTAGCTTTCTTGCATGCAGTGTTTGTCCCATCATTATGGGTCCACATTCTGGTGGAGAGCCAGACTTGTTGCCATACTTGGGAAGTGTCTGTAGCCATGGATCATGGCTTTGTCTTGAATCGGCCACGCTTTTAAACTGCTATTGTCCTTATCAAACGCTTACTTTTGAAGTCTATTTTGGTCTTTTTTTAGTTGGAAAGTGGAATTCAGTGACATACAGGGATCACAGGATCTTTTGCCCTGCCTGAGCTATGCCCAATGAATACATTTAGACAGCTTCAGCTCTGGGAATGAGTTTTTAATCCATGAGGTACAGTGCAAAGAGTTTTTGTTACTAATAATTGAAATACCACTTGAAATAATTGAAAAATCATTTCAAGTTTTGTACACATTAATGAAGACTCAAGGATACTCTTCTGATACTGCCATTCTTTTTCACTTTGCTTCCTACATTCTCTGATATTGACCTAATCCTATCTTACTCTTCAGTCTAGCTGCTTTGATCATCCTCTCCCCATCCCCATCACAGATCTGATGTCCAAGATCAAAGTTGTCAAGCACATTGCCAAGAGGGGACAAATGGAGGCTCCAAGACTCAAATTTGGATCTTTAGTCTTCATATTGAGTGTTCCATTACATTGCTGCATTTTTACAAAATGGGTAGGGTTTTATAATTTGTGAAACTGATTCTATTTGAAATACTATGTAAGACAGTGATCCCTGCCTAAATTTTCATTCCTCAAACAAAATATTTCTATACCTTTTTCTTTCCACTCTCTTAGCCCATTGTGCCTTACATCTTGTGAGCAGGGAGATTCACATATTTATTTCCCAAATAATAAGCAACCTGAGTAGTTCTTCCATTTGTAAATTGAAACAAGTTAATTATAAGAAGCATGCTAGGCATGCAGGGCACATCGATAATCTCAGCAATCAGGAGGCTGAGGCATGAGGATCAGTATGAGTTCAAGACTGGCCTGTACTACATAGAAAGACTTCGTCTGAAAACTTTTGTGGATCAAAAGTCATTATGAACAAAGTGGAAGGCTGTCTTAGTTACTTTTTTCTCATTGCTGGGACAAAACATCTGACACCCAAAACTAAGGAAGGAAAGGTTTATTTAGCTCATAGTTGGTGGAGGTTTCAGTCCATACTTGGCTGGCTCCAAGGCAGAGTGTCACATGGCACAGGGGCAACTGTTCAAGGTGGTGGAAGACAGCAAGACAACAAGAGCAAAAGGTGGAGCCGGGCATGGTGGTGCATGCCTGTAATCCCAGCACTTGGGAGGCTGAGGCAGGAGAATTTTTGTGAGTTTGAGACCAGCCTAGGCTACAAATTGTGCTCAAAGCCAGCCTGAACTGCATAGCGAGATTGTGTCTCAAAAAGGCAAAAAAGAAAAGCAAAAAAAAAGAGCAAAAGGTGGGAGAACAAGCCTCCTTTCCTCCCATATATTGTAAGCAGGCTACTCAACCACCCAGGGTGGGTATAGCACTCACATAATCTCCATGACCTCCTCTTGCACAGGATGAGGATGTTTGCAAGTCAGAACCCTGGCTCCCTGCTGAGTCACTTAGTTAAACTTCTAAACTTCTCAGGTTGACACAATGTATCAACCATTACAAAGGCCATCCATGAAATGGGGAAAATATTTCCAAATCTTCTATGATAAGGGATTAATAGCCAGCATATATAAAGAGCCCTTACATTTCAATAACAAAACCACCAAACAATATCATTTTAAAATGAGCAAAGGACTTGTAGAGATTTTGCTCTAAAATAAAATGCAGCCTTCCCAAAAGAGCAAAGAAAAAAAAATGCAAAAGAAAAAGAAATGCAAGTGGCCAGTAAACACATAAAAGATGCTCAACATCACTGCTCAACTAAAAGCACAATGACATACCAGTTTGTACCCTTTGGGATAACTATCAACAACAACAGCAACAGAGGCAACACAGAAAGTAAGTGGTGCAAGGATGTGGGGAAATCGGCACTTTACGGACTGTTGTTTGGAATGTAGAATGACACAGCTTCTGTGGAAAAGAGTTTGGTGGTTTCTCAGAAAAGTAAGAGAATTGCCGTACCTTGCAGCAATCCCATTCCTGGGTACATACTCAAGTGAATTGAAAAGCGGCATCATTCACTGTAGCCAAGAGGTGAGAGCAACAGAAGTGTCTGTTGACTGCAGAACAGATAAAAACACATGTGTGTACATGCAATGACATATCATCAGCCTTTTAAGGGAAGGAAACTCTGACACATGCTACAACAGGAATGAACCTCGAGGATTTTATGTTAAGTGAAATACACCAGTCACACAAACAAGTATTGTATGATTCCGCCTACATAAAGTGTCAGAGAGGACTAATTCATAGAAGAAGAAAGTATCACTGTGGTTTCCAGGGCCCAGGGAAGGAGGAAATGGGATCCTACTATTTAATGGGTACAGAGTTCCTCTTTAGGATATTGAAAATTTTCTGCAGATAGATAGCTGCGTAGGACAGCAATGTGAATAAACTTAATTTCACTCAGCTGTAAACTTAAAGATGGCTACAATGGCAAAGTTTATGTTTTTATGTATCCACGCTAAAAATAAAATTAAAAGGTACATTCCAGAGGATAGAACTTCAGGGAACAAACCGATGCTCTAGCCAGGAAAATAGGGCATGGGAAATGATTCGCTATGATGATTCAGATTCATTAGCAAAACTAGGATTCTTTAATTCTTGCGGGGTTTTTGGTACTGGGAGTCAAACTCAGGACCTTGCACTTGCCAGGCAGGCACTTGTGACACTGAGTTATATTCCCAGGCCTAAGATTTTTTAATTCAATGAAATACTATAATTGGGACATTTGCAAGTATAGAACTAAGCTGCGTGAGTGTTCATCTTTCATTCTTTCTGTTTTTGTGGTGCCGGGGATCAAACCCATGGCCTTGAACATGCTAGGCAAGTACTGTAGAGCTGAGCT